GCCTACAAATCTCAGGCACATGTTATATGGCCCTTTCCATTAAAAAAAAAAAAAAAAAATGCCCCTACAACACAGTGTTCCCAGAGTCCAAATTGTGGACATGAAATACAAGATTCCTGAAAATACAGGACCATAATCTTGCTGCTTGGAGAAAGGAGCAATCACAGCCCTCTTTCAGATTCCTGATGTCTATTATACTCAGTGGGCTGTTACTGATGGTGGCCACCCCCATGACATGAGGCAAGAAGGTCACTTACCATCCAAATACATTTGGGAGTTCAGCTGGTCACTTCAACAGGGCCAGGGCTCACACCAAAACCAAGGCTTACTAGCTCTTCACTCAACAAATGACAGAAATACCACAGAACAGGTGGTTTACAAAGAAGAAATCTCTTCTTCACAATTCTGAAGGCTAGGACATCTGAAGGCCGAAAGATGGCCAGTTCAGGCCCCAGAGAGGCCTCTTCCTGGGCTGTACAGGAAGGTCCTTCTGCTGTGCCTTCACAGGTGAAGACAAAGGACAGCTCTCTCAGTCCCCTTTTAAGAGCACTGATCCCACTCATTAAGGCTCCACCCTCATGATCTAACTGCCTCCCTATGGCTCTACTTCCAAATACCATCACACTCTGAGTTAGGGTGGCAACCTAAGCATTCCGAGGACACAAATATTCAGTTCACATTACACAGCAGGAGGGGAACCCAAGTGTGGCCAGACTGGTGATGACCTTTGTTCCAGAGACTTCGTAGGTCTGGAAGCACAGGGTTGTTCAAGCTTTACCCCCGGCCAGGAACATGCCCTCCTGCCCATTAAGTGCCAGCTCATTTCACAACTGTCCCAGGCCAGCTCTGCATGTGTACACACATACACACACACACACACACACACACACACACACACACACACACACATACCCAGAGCCCAAGCTCTGCGAGAACCTGGCAGCCACTTCCAAATGCCCACCAAAAGGCACTCCACATCCTGGTAAAGAGTCAAGCAGTAAATGGTGCTTATTTTCTGCGTGCAAAGGTCAGACATTCCATGCAGTGGAAGGAAAAGCCACTACATCTTATCTAAACCAAATCAATCACTATCCAGCATCACAGAGGCCGACGTATCAGAACAGCTAACAATCAGATGCTGCAGATGGGGCACTCTGCTACCAGAACCTCTGCCTCCAATAAAGGCAGTCTAGCTCATGATCCCAGGCAAATCACATCCCCTTTGGGCCTCCTTTCCCTCATCTGTAAAATAGCACTGGGCCTGATTTCCAAGTTCAAGAATAGAAGCGTTTACCAAGAAATTCTGGTATCAGCTTTCACGAAGACTCAAGCAATAAAGCATTTTGGAAAAGCCCAACAAAACCACAGCTTCTCCGGAGAAGGCAGACTCTTTAAAATGAGAAACATATGACAATACAATAAACAGATTGCTGATTTTTCTTCTCTTCTAAAGTCCTCTGTAAGAAGAAACAGTCTCTGCATGGTTCCATAAAACTAGCTGAAGGCTGAGCAGGACAGACCCCTCGTTAACCTTCAAGACTCCTTGGAAGTTGGGGCCCATCTTCCAAATGGACAGCCCTAGCCCGCTGCATTAATGCCTAAGGAAATCAGTTCTTGGATTAGTTCGTGTGAAAAGGACGATTAACTACTATTTCCCAGTTTTGTTTTGTTTTTTTGGTACCAGGGATCGAACTCGGGTCCTTTGCACTTACGAGGCAGGCAGCTGAACCACTGAGCTAAATCCCTGGCCCTATTTTCCAGTTTTAACACCATAAAATTGTTACTCCTATGGCTCAACAGGAATTACTGCGCATTTAAATTCACCTTTCTAAAAACACACCCTGACTCCAAAACCCTCCATCTCAACTGTTCCTTTGTTTTGGAAAATCTTATGTTTTCATCACTTTTATGAAGCCAACTCTTGGACTCAGGTCTTCTGTCTTGTTCTGTGACAAATATTATGAAAAGATATTTATGCATGTATATTTATGAAGTCAGTGAATTTCATGAAAGAATTTCAAATGGGTCAATAACCCATATTAAAGTTTTATTAAAAATTTATTAACAATTTCCTTTAAAAAAAACGTTTGAGCATACAAAATGATAGACAGAAAAAAATACATCAACTTTAGTGTACCTACCAATCACCCAATCTGAGAAATATAACAATGCAAAGCAACCCTAGAAGCCCCAGCACATTTCTCCCCAGCCACACCCCCTCTTCTCCCATCAGAGGTAACCACTACCCCAAATCCAAGGCTGGTCACCCAACACAGCTCTCCCTGTCCCCACACAGCATAGACTGTACTCTTATGATCTGTGGTACTGTTTCACTCAATCTTCTTAATCATATAAATGGTATCACTGTGTAACTTATTTCTTGCTCAATTTTATGTTTGTGACAGTCATCCACATGGACACACACAGTTCCAGATTCTTTATGTTCACTCCTGCATAACACTGTTATGGGAATAATATAAATATGCCACATATTTAGCCTAAAACACTGCCTGATGTTTCATATGGCTGCCGGGTAGTGCTTACCTTTGTACCAGCCATTTTCAGGAATCCTCACAACCACCCCAGAAGTGAAAGTCCCACTAGACCAAACTGCAAACAGGATAGAGAGATGTAAAACTTGTTCAGCACCTGTTGAGCAGTAGCCTCAAACTGCAAACCCAAGCCTGAAGCCACATTGCTATCAGCTTTGTGGTTCCATTAATGTAGACACTGCATTTAGTTTTGTTTTGTTTTTTTAATAGGGAAGTGAATCCAGGGCCTTCACACTACTGTATCCCCAACCCTTTTTTTAAATTTTATTTTACTTTTGAGATATGGTCTTGGTAGGTCACAAACCTCCTGCCTCAGCTTCCCAGAGTGCCAGGATCATAGGAGTATCCCACTAAGCTAGGGGGGGGGTTGTTTGTTTTTAATGAAAAAATCGAGCTGGGTGTTGTGGTGCACACCTGTAGTCCCAGGGCTCTAAAAGCTGAGACATGAGGATCTCAATTTCAAGGCCAGCCTGGGCTTTTTTCTCAAACTAAAAAACGGAACTAGCTGGGCACACACCTGTAATCCTAGCCCTCCTAGAGCCTGGAGGATCACAAGTTCAAACCCAGCCTGAGGAACTTAGCAAAACCCTGTCTCAAATTTTTTTAAAGGGGGGTGGGGGGATTTTTTAAAAGAGGGGTGGAGCTGTGGATATAGCTCAGTACAAAGGCCCTGGGTTCAATCCTAAGTACTGTACTGCCAAGAAAGAAAGAAAAAAGAAAAGGAAAGGAAAAAATGATAGAGGAGGGCTCTAACATCATGAGAAAACCTGAAACAGGATACTCCATTTTCTTTTTTTTAACAAATAATTCCACCGGAAATTCATCTGACATAAAATGATCCTCATGTACTCTGAGGACAAGCCTCTTCCTTTGAAAGTCCTGTGAACGAGCTAGGACCACTCCCAAGTCTATGCAGATGCTAAGTAACCTCAAGTTGAACTGTAACCTGCCTTGGTTTCCTCTGGAGAAACAGAATGCCTGCACCCACTTGGAGACCATGGGAATCTGACCCTGGGCCAACTGGCAAAGTGGAGTCCACAAAGCTCTAAGAATGACTTGGGAGCAGCTCCAGCTGGCCTGGCTCTGGAGGGATCCGGGAACAGGCCTGTGCTCGAAAGGCCTGGGCATTTGTCCACTCTGCTCTCCAGCAGCCAGCGTTGGAGGAAGACTGCTCTGGAGGAAGACCAGCATGCAATACGGAAGAGAGAACCAAGGGTGGGGACTCAAAGAACCAGGCAGAGAGCAAGGGCCCCTCTGGAGGTTAGGAGCAGGGACATCCTTAAGAGATAGACCCCCTCAAGGCCACGGCAGGCTGCCAGATCCAGGACCACAACTCTACCACATAAACTCCACACTCCTCTGCTGGGAGACCAAGGCCTCCAGCCAACAAAGTATGACAGCCAAGCAACCCTCCTACCTCTCCAGGTGGAAACGGCAAGAAAGCAGGAGCAACCCCCACTTACCCACCCACCCATCCATTCAGAAAGAATGGTGATCATCTCAGGGTCTCTGCCATCTGGCTCCGTCCACTAACATTTACAGATTGGTTCAAAATGGCTTTGTGTGGCTCTGGGGATTGAAGCAGGGCCTTCACACTGAACTACATCCCCAGCCCACCCACCCTTGGGTCTGCTAAAATGCTTAACTCCCTAGGATAAGCTAGAATCAACGGGCAGAGATTGAATCATTTAATCCAAAACTCCTGTGAGCTCCACACTCCAGCTACCCACTTTACAGGAGAGGCAGCTCAAGTTACACACTGTACCAAGCTCCACGCAGTTAGAAAAGTGGCCCTTGGGAAGGAGGCCTACAAATCTGGGAGGGCTGCCACTGATATCTATCTCAGGGATGGTGGGGTGGGGTGGGGACACGATTGGGGACTCGGACAAAGAGGGTGTGGAGGGCCGTAAGAGACAACGACCTGAGGACCTGAGAACGGACCTGACAGAATAGTCCCCAAGCCCACTGGCCAAGGCCAGGGAAAGGGCAACAGGGAAGCAAGAGTGGATGGGTGGGGGCTTAGAAGGCCGCCTGGGGCAAGATGGAGGCGCCGTGAGGTGGCCGCGGGGGTATGGCAGCCGGGCTGGGCGTGGACCAACCGTGGGGCAAGTGGCCGTGAGGACTGGGTACCAGCTGCAGGGCTGGGGCCCGGGCTGGGGCATGGGGACCAGGCGCTGGGCGCTGGGACGCGCGACATGGGTACTGGCCGCGGGGCCCAGGCTGGGACGTGGGGACCAGGCTCTGGGCATGGGTGCTGGCCGTGAGGCGTGGGGTCCTCGCCGGACCCCAGACGTGAGGACGCCGAGAGCGGGGCGCGCGGGCGTGGGGTGTGAGGACCGGGCGTGGGGCGCGGCCACAGGGCGTGGAGCACGGGACATAGGGACCAGCTACGGGGCTCGGGCACTTGGGGCCAGAGGAACGGACCGTGGGGCGCGGGGGGCCGCCCACCTTAAGCACAGCGACGGCGCCCGCGCTGTGCACCTGGAAGTGCGCGGGCAGCTCGGCGCCAGTTTCCGCGGATTCGTCCGCGCCCGGGTAGCAGAAGCAGGCGTCGGCGATGTCCAGGCGGCCCAACGGCAGCGCGTCCTGCGGGCTCTTGAAGTAGTAGAGGTGGCAGCGACGCGCGTCGAACACGAACCAGCGGCTGCGGTAGCCGCGGAGCGGGCCCTTGCCCGACAGCTTCTGCAAGTAGCCGCACAGCCGCGCTGGCCCAGCCGCGCCCTCGCCGCCGCCGCCGCCGCCGCCGCCCTCCTCAGCCCGGGCCCCGGCACCCGGCATCGCCCTCCCGCCAGCCAGCGGCGGCCCGCAGCTCCCAGCGCACGGCCGCGCGGGGCACCCTGGGACTTGTAGTCCCACCCCCGCCACGGGCCCTCGCCCCCGCCCCTGCTCCGCCTCCCAGGGACTTGTAGTCCCACCCCGCCTCCTGCGGATTGTAGGGCCGACCCGGTCCTCGTCCCCTCGCCCGGCCCCCCCACGCCTCGGCCCTGCCCTCTCCCACCCGGGAAGGGCCCTGGCATCGCACCAACCTTCGCTTGCGAGGCTCCAGGTTCCTGCCCTGCCAGGCAAGGCGGCTTCTGTTTCTTTATGCGAGCCTGTGTCCCACGACAACCCACCGTGTCCACTCGAAACTGCACTGCACACTGAAAACGGCCTCATGGCCTTCCTAGAAAACGCGTCAGTCTCCACCCTGCCAGAGCCACAGTCCAGCATTGTGAAACTGAGAGGGCCTGCGCCTGGTGCTGAGTGGGAGCTCAGTAAATATTTGCAGAGTTCATGAATGAAAAGTCGAAGCATTCCTCCTCTCCACGCCTCAGTCCTTCCTGGAATTAAACAAATATCCATGGAGTGCTTTCTGTGTGCCAGGTAGGGTTCCACCAGCAGATGGAGGGTGACAGCCAGTCATTTCCCTCCCCTGGAGGGATTGTATTCTAGAGTGAGGTGATAGATAAAAAACAAAAATAAATGATGCCACGTTGCATAAATGCTGATGCCATTTAAATATTGGTCACTACCTAACTAGCGCTTACCACTCTGCTTTCTGTGTTCACCCAGGCGAACTCTAATAACCTCAGAGGCAGATGCCCTTATTAGGTAATAAATCAGAGAAGAGGGAGCCATCTCCCTGGATGGGACAGGGGCCAGCTCCAAGCACTTGCCCTGAGCCACTGTGACAAGTGAACGAGGGAGGGACAGCATTCCAGGCAAAGGGAAGTGTGGAGACAGAGTTTACCTTACCCAGAGAAGAAAAGGAAGTTGGTAGCTACATTGGTCAGAAGGCCAAATCAAACAAATATTTCATTCACCTTCCTTCCTTTGCGTATTTTACACATGCTCTAGAAGACACAGGCAGAAACCCCCAGCTTTCTGAAGTGGACACGGACACCAATGAGGCTGCCTGTTTGGGCAGGTGCAGGACCTCACCTAGCCTGAGAGCCACCTGCAGCTGGCTGCCTTGAGCATCCTTTTCCTGGGGCCTCAGGGTTCTGGCTGGGGCAGCCACAGCAAGGATGCGGGCCACTTTGCTCTCTCCCGCTATCTTCATGGTAAGAAGGGCATGACTCATTGACCCGTAGGGTAGCAGTCAGGTTGGGATGTGCTTTTGAAATGCACCAGAAAGGGGAAGCCAGGAGGGAGTGGGTCTGCGTGCTGAGAGGAGGAGGCCACAGGCATCAGCAGGCCTGGCCCATTCTAGCTCTTTTGGTAAGTTGTGAGAAGGAGGTGGGCATGGCCTGGGGTCCCAGAGCACAGAACCAAGCCCTGTGGGTGTCACGTGGAGGCAGAGGCTGCTGGGCATGAGGAAGACATCCTTCCAGACAGAGGGAGCTATTTCTGGGGGCTCCTCATTCCTTGGAGTCCTTGTTAAGTGATGTATCAAGCCTTCTGCTGTTGCTGTAATTGTATGCTGCAGTCTAGGGTAATTTCTAGAGAATAAAGGTTTATAAGGCTCACAGTTTTGAAGTTCAGGGTCAGGCAGCCAGGGCATCCCATGGCAAGATGGAGAGTCCCAGCTCATGTCTCCTCCTCCTAGAAAGCTGCAGTAGAGCAGATGAGGGGCACTCACTGCCTCAGTTAATTTCCTAATTAACTCCCAAGGCCCCGCCTCCGAGCATCATAACATTGGACTCTTAAGGGTTAGGAGGAGGCAAACACAGAAACCATAGCAAAGGCTAGTAGAGATTGCAGTCCCTTGGATTAAACATCAACATTCTGTGGCCAGGGGCCAGCTTCATACGGCCTGTGTGTCCCAGACAGGCGTTTGGGTGACCAAGGACCTACCCTGTGTGCTACATAAGCCCCTGCACCCTCCGACCTCCCAGGAACTCAGTGACCAGAAGGAAGTGGCCAACCCGGGAGGAAGTAGCTGGCTGCTTGCTGAAAAGAGAAAATCCAGGCAGTGAACTTGCTCCCACGTGGCCAGCCTCTGGGCAAACTTCAGGGGAAAAACAGAGCCAGTGACTGACTCATCCTAGGCCATTTCCTCAGAGAGTGTGGGGTGCAGCCAGAAGCCAGGAAGAAGCACCCAGGCAAGGGTCTGCTTTTGCATCTGCCAGACCCCAGGGAGACAGAGCCGCCAAGATGTCAACCTCAAGCCCAGGGGGAGGGGTGCAGAGAAGAAAACAGCTTTGCCACATGAATGCTGTGTGAACTTGGGTGCCTTTCTCCCCTCTTTGGGCCCCAGTTTCCCACTTGTACAGGGGGCTGGATGGCTATGTGATCTCCAGGGCCCCACCCCTGCCTGCTCTGAATGTAACAGTGGTGCAAGGGCTAACTGTGAGGGTTTGGTCAACTTTCCACAGCTCCCCAGGCCAGCAGAGGCTCTGCCCTTTCATGTCTTCATGCTCTGAGCCCTCTTAATATTCCCAGATATCACCACTGAATTTACCTTCTCCTTGGGGCTCTACTCCATCCTTGGGCTCAGCTGGATGAACCCACTGTGGTTAGTCCAAGCTGCTCCTGTGAGTAACATTTTCACTTCCTCCCTGCGCCCTGTTGGGGGTCCATCACCCTCCCCCCCACCAGCAACACCACCAAAGCACAGGTGGGGGCCTCCAGGCAGAGAGGCAGGAATGGCCCTGCTGGTGGGGCAGAGGCACAACACCTGGCAGGACCTCATGGAGCCCAGAGCACACATGAAGGAGGAAGCCTGATGGGGCACTGGAGGGCAAGGGGCCAGAGGGACAAGGCAGCCCTCAGAGCAGAGATGCTTTGACCCCAGAGCCCGACCAGGGAGCAGGCTTCCAGAGCTATCAGCATGGTTCTGCAAGGGCCACCTGCACCCTACATCCTGGGGTGATGGGGAGGATTAGGGGCACCTGCTTCCTCACCCGCAGATGGGGCATAATAACACCATCTCCTTCCTGGCACTGCTGTGGGTTCCTGCAAGTTGATGAAACCGAACCTTGGCCTACCCCTGAACACTGGAATCTCAGCATGCAACTGATCCCAACACAAACCTCTCCGCCCACACCTGCCTCTGCTGGTGCCAAGAAATGCTGAGAGCTCATTTGGGCACAGGGCCTGGCCCCTGACTGCCCTGGGGAGGTCCAGGAGGGAAGCAAGCTTCACAGGAAAAAGCTTCACCAGGCTCAGGACCTCCAATTGTGAGCTCTGGCTACCAGTGGGCCTCATTTCCCTGACAAATCGCCAGGCAAATCTGATGGCTGGTGGTTCTCTTTCCAAGAGGGCAGGCATCCAAGGCGCTGGCCAAGCTTCCAGCCCTGGGACTGGGGGTCCAGGGCATGGACAGGTAGGGGCCTGTGTGTCCCTGGGAGCTGCAGGCCCAGTTAAGACTGCATACCATACCGTAGGCCCAAGGCCCCTTTACCTTTAAGTCCCCATTTTATTGCATATCAATCCAGGAGTCCCCTATTCCCCCCAGGGCAGAGGTTCCCAGGCCCCCTCAGGTGCCTGAATCTGAAAAGTTCTCAAATCCCTTTTGCAAAATGGCACCATGTTTGTGTGTAAACTGCCCACATCCTCCAGCATACCTTAAATCATTTCTAGATCACTTATAATACCTACTTTTCTGTTTATGTCAATAGTTGTGATACTGTTTAGGAAATGATGACCACAAATAAGTCTGTACATGTTCAATATGGACACAGTTTCTTCCCTCATATTTTCAATTCATGATTAGTTTGATTGGCTGATGATGAACCCTGGGATACAAATGTAGACTCTCCTGCTATATATTTTTAAATGACACGGCCACATTTTGAGTTAAAAATACATATGCTTTAAACTTTTTTGAAAAGACTTTTTCTGGTTTTGCTTTTGGAGTGGTTTTGCTTTAAGGGATTCACTGAATTTACCACAAGTAACTATCCCTTGGCAGTTCCCAACATTTGAGGACGCCTGTGAAGTGAGATCACGTGGCCTCCATGCTGTTTTCACATGGGAGGAAATCTTCATGAAAACTAAGTGAAGCTGATGCTGAATTACACTGCATGGACATTTCATTTGTGAATTGTGTTTGGGAACAACACTGTTGTTGCTGTTGTTTTCCCAAGGCCTTGGATATTTCTAGGGGTCCTTGGAAAGTTCCCAGCACCTGGCCATTGTCCTGTGAATAAAACCACCAATCTGTTTTTTGGACAGACAGCCAAGAAGGACATCTCTGGAGACCCCTCCCTGCCAGCACAATTATACTTGAAGATGACAAGATGATTTCACTGAGTAGTCACAAGGGGACAGATGGGTCACAATAAAATTGATGATTTTTCTGAACTAGCACCACCCATCTCCCTTGGTTCTTATATCTGCAGACTCCCAACATGACCTAGCTTTAAGATATTATCCACTTGGGGCTGGGAATTTAGCTCAGTGGTTCCGCCGCCTGCCTCTCAAGAGCAAAGTCCCGAGTTCAATCCCTGGTACCAAAAAAATATATTATCCATTTGTTCATTTGTTAATTCGTTCAATATTCACTGCACACAAGTCAAGACAACCTAGAGAGCACAATTGGGCAATCTCCATCAGAATGATACATTCAAATTCCCTTTGGATTGGTGATCTCACCTCTGAGAAGCTTAGAGTAGGTCTGATCACTCTATGTTTTTTTTTTTTGGTACTGGGGATCAAACTCGGGACCTTGAGCTTTCGAGGTAGGCAGCGGAACTTCTGAGCTAAATCCCCAGCCCTGATTGGTCTGTGCTTAACCAGTTCTGTATGAGGTTGTCAGTTGATACATTTTGGGGGATAAAAAAGACTAGAAACAACCCTCAGTGGGGGATTGGTTACAAAAATGATAATGTATCCATGCAGTAGGATTCTATACAGCCATAAAAGTAAGAATGGCACCCTTTTGGTACTCTTGTACAAGGAGAGCCAAGATGTGTTGTTAATTATTTTACAAGGTGAGGTGTAGAACACCGTTCAGTAATCTACCTTTTATATAAGAAGGGGGAATAAAAGCCCACACAGTACACGGCTGATTCCAGCTACCTGGGAGGCTGAGGCAGGAGGATCACTTGTACACAGGAGTTTGGGGCCAGTTTGGGGCGATAGAGATCTTGTCTCAAAAAAAGTCATAGGAGGAAGAAAATAGAAATACAGATATTTATTCGGACATTCAAGGAACAAGTATGGCTATGAGGGGAAATGAAGTGAGATCAAAACTGGATGGATGGGGAAAAAACTGAATGGACGGATTTAATGCTTAAAGAGAAAATATTTTATTAATAACTTTATATTTATTTATTTATTTATTTATTTATATTTTGGTACCAGGGATCAAACTCAGAACCTTGCGCTTGCGAGACAGGTGGTGGCACCACTGAGCCAAATCCCCGGCCCTATATTTTATATTTTTAAAAACCGTGTGGACTTGTCATCTATGGGAATGACAATTTAAAATCTACTTGTGTCAGGTACTGTTCTGGGCACAAAAGAAACTGGATCATTCATTCTCTCCTCCCCAGGTTCATAGAAAAAAGTCCTGTCTACAAAGCCTATGAGAATGTTGTGTCTGTAACCTAACAAGTGCAGGACGGGCATTTGCTGAGGAGCCCTCGAAGGCATTCTACCCAGGAGCTGGCTACCCACAGCACCAGCCCTGTGCATAGACACCACTGAACAGGCTCAAGAAAGGAGAAGTAGGCTAGGTGTGGTGGCACCTGCAATCCCAGCACTCAGGATGCTGAGGCAGGAGGATCTCTACAAGTTCAAGGCCAGTCTGAGCTACATGGTAAGAAACTGTCTCAAGAAGAAAAGCGGGCCAAGGATTTAGCTCAGTGGTGCTGCTGCCTGCCTTGAAAACACAAGGTCCTGAGTTCAATCTCCAGTACCAAAGAAAAAGAAAGGACCAAAAGGAAAGGAGAGGGGAAGGGAGGGGAGGAGAGAAAAGGAGAGGAGAGAAGAGGAGAAATAGAATGGCTTGGCCACACTCAGGGCCAGAGAGGCCTCTCTGAGCATCTTTCTAGAAACCCCTCAGCCCTGCTTTCTAGAGGACCAGCAAGCTGGGCACCTTCAAGACTGGGTCATGTGCTGGGTGATCTGCTACTATTCCTTGTCCTGCAGGAAAAGCAGGGCCTGAGAGAGGAGAACCCAGGAGAGGGAAGCATTATAAAGACAAGGACATGAGGTTTTGGGGACCTCCAAGCATGGGGATGGCTTGGAGCTGGTGAATCATGATGCCAACCTGTGTGGATGGGCTTCTGACCCCTGTACACATAGATTTGCTCATTGAGTCATTGAACACTACCACGTGGGCACTTTCTCTCCCCGCCACTTTGACAGATGAGAAAAATAAGAACAATGAGGTCACGGAGCCGACAAATGGGGGCAGAGGACCATAATCCAATCAATCTGACTCCAGAGCCTGAGATCTCTCCCTCTCCCCACACCTTGGGGGGTGGAGGCGGAGGGCAGGGCTATTCCAGAATTCTCTCTATGCCCAATGCCAGGACCCAGTAAGTGACCAAGGGCAAGGAACTGAACAATGGGATGCAGGCTACTATCTGGGAGGATCTTTTCCTACCCTCACTCCAGGCTTTCAGAGCTCACCCAGTTCCTCAGCCTGGGCCCTGCCCCTCTCCAGGCTTCCACTTCCCTTGTATATAAATATAGACTCCCCCTTATTTGCCTGATTTCAGAATCTCCACCCTGGTCCACAGCCAGCTGGGGATCTGCCTTCTTCTGTACACAAAGTCTTTATCTTCTTATGAAAATGACCAGGTTCTGCCCATAAACACCCAGCCTAAGAGAGGTGGAGAGAGAACGTGTCATGGAAAATCGCAGAGGGACATTTCTTTGTATTTGAATACTTCCAAGCCTTGCTTTGGCCGAAGACCAACTTTGGGTGTAACCCCACATCCTCAGCCGTTTCTGTGCCACGAACCTCTCAGGAATCTGGTAGAGCCTACAGACATCTCAGAGTAAATTCTTCAAGTGCACAAAATAAAATACATGCAAGGAAAGTAGAAATAAACTATGAGGAAATAGGGCTTGTCACACTACTTCTGAGGCAGTGACATGATGCTTTATGTGCCCGGATTTGCATGGCCTACACTGGCCTTACTGGCTCTCAAGTGGAAGGAGGAATTAACCAGCTCAGAATTTCCCCATTGAAATACAGTTGCCTCTGTGAGAAGGAGTGCATGGAATTCATATCCATGCTTTGGTAGCAGGTGAAGTATTATGGGCTGTAGCCACAGTCTGGCTTTGCGCTAAGACAATGACAAAAGGTTGGGGAGGGAGCCAGACCCACTATGGTAACTCAGGGGCTGGCTGGGAAGCTGCGGTGGCCTCCCCCCATCTAGGGCTGCAGCTGTGTCCCCATCAGCAACTCCAGGCAGCTCAGGTCCCCACCCCAAAGCATCAGGAAGACTCAACTGCCAGTCCCGAGGTGACAATGGGCTCCTGTGGCTGTGGCACGGGGAGGGCACAGCCCAGGCAAATGAGCTGGAGTGCGAATATAGAGCAGCTGCTACTGGGCTACGCTTCTGTGTCCATGCTCGCTGGGATGGAGGGCAGCCTGGAGCAGCCCGGCCCAGGGAAGGGGCCTGGGGACAGCCAGGCCCTTGCTGAGCTCCAGGAGCTGGCCTTGAAGTGGTTCATGGAGACACAAGCCCCTTCCATCCTGCAGAATGGGGCCCTGCCCCCCTGGTTTCACGGATTCGTCACCCGCAAGTAAGGCTGCTGTCCCCAGGCCCAGGGGGCTGGGACCCTGGCTGGGGACCCCAAGACAGTTGGCCCTGTCCTCTCCCTGTGCTGGATGGGCAGGGAGGTGGTGGGTCAGGGAGCAGATGGAGGGGTTACACCTATGGGCAGAGTGGGGACAGCACCAGTCCCAGACGGGCTCAGGGTAACTGGGCTGCCAGGCTGTCCAGGGACAGAAAGAGGGTGTGTCACAGGGGGGACTGTCACAGCAAATGTGGATGCTCTCTTGTCCCAGGAGTAAGGGCCAAGCAGCAGAGTTTGCTTTTTGGTGGGCTGGGCAAGGCACTAGAATGAGGAACATGGCCCGTGACAGGGTCCAGCACCACGCAGGCACAGAGCCAGGGCCACTGTGAACAGTGGGGACTGGGACACATTGCTCAGGAGGGCCCCACGCCTTGCTCCATTCTCTGCTATCCCAACCTGGAAATTTGGAATAAAGGGAGGGGGCCCAGAGGCATAGACTAAGCCGTGAGAGGCCACAGACCCTGTCGGGATGGAGGGCAATCTCTGTCAGGCTTCATGGGCTGTCTGCACTGAGTCTGGGCTGAGGAAATGGCTGTGGGGTCTAAGCAGGCCTCTGCTGGGTGCCAGGCTGTGGTGGGGCCCAGGTCCCCACTAACAGCACATCCCCTGCCCAGGCAGACAGAGCAGCTGCTGTGTGACAAAGCTCTTGGGTCCTTCCTCATTCGCCTCAGCGACCGGGCTGCCAGCTACATCCTGTCCTACAGGTAAACAAGTGCAGGATGCAGCCCGCAAGTGCCAGAGGCCCCGCATCCCCAAGTGGGGCTGTCCCTAGGTGCCACCCCTCACTCCCTTCTGCATCCCTTCTGTCACCTAGTGACAGGCCCCACTGAGCAGCACTGCCATGTGTCAGGCCCGAGGCTAAGGCCATGGGGAGGTGAGTGGGGGCTGGGAGATGAGGCTCAGCAGGTGAGCTTAGAACCCAAAGAGCAGCAGTTTGCTAGCAGGAAGGAGGGTGTAGCTGGATGATGATGAACCCTGTGTGCACAAGTACAGAGGCCTCGGGGACAGGGTGTGGGGGAGCCCCAAGTCCCTGGGTGCAGCAAGATGCAGGGTCCCTCTAGAAAAACGGCTGGAGAACAGAGAAGGCAGCCTGGGATGCTGGTGAAGGTCACAGACAATGAGGGTGGGTCTGGTCACACTTCTGTCTCTCCAGGTCCTCCAGGCAGCCTGTGGAGGGAGGCCTGGACATGAGAGGTTGGAGGGATCCCAGGCCATCGGTTAGATGTGAGAGGCTGAAGTGGAGGCCAGGGTAGAACAGTAGAGACACAGAGGGACAAGGGGCCCGCAGGAAGTCAAACGGCAGAGCTGATGCTGGCCCAGGAGTAGCTGGGTCAGGAAGGCAAAGGGCAGAGGCGGCCCTAGGCCAAGAGGAGGCAGGACTCCAGGGTGAAAGGTTCAGCTTCTGATTCAGAATCATCGCCAACAGAGACTTCCCCAGACTGGGCCACACGTGTTTATGTTGCAGGGGCAGTGATCGCTGTCGGCATTTTGTCATCAACCAGCTCAGAAACCGGCGCTACCTGGTCTCAGGGGACAACCTGAGCCACGGCACCCTGGCCGAGCTGGTGCGCCATTACCAGGAGGTGCAGCTTGAGCCCTTTGGGGAGACACTGGCTGCTGCCTGCCCCCGGGTAGGTTCCTCTCATCTCCTGGTTGGGTGGGGAGTCCAGACAAGGGCATCTTTCGCTCAGTCATGTCCTGTTTTGCCTTCACTGTCTGTTCCCCTTGGGCACTTGGGTAGGGACAGGGTCTCTGTTTGAAAGGGGATTTACAGCATCTTGCCTGCAGCCAGGGGCCAGGTGGGGACCTTTCATTACTTGGGAAGCCATTGAGGAGTAAGTGACCTTGCACCTGCTGTGTCCCCACTGCCCCAGGCAGAGGACCATGATTTGTATGATGCCATCACCCTGGGCCTCCAGCAGACCAACCTAGGCCTTGAAAACCTCCCAGCAACATCTCCTGCCATGGTACCTGACAAAGCTGCCAGCCCCCGTGTCCCTGTGAAGGCCCGGGGGTCCTTCCTGCACACAGAAAAGAGCCTAGACCCAGGTCCTTGGAACCTTGCCAAGGAGGACAGCACAGAGGTGAGGAGATTCCAGCCACCAAGGGGAGGGCTGCCAGAATGGGGATATGGGTGTCACTTCAGTCAGCCCCTTGGTGCTGTGCCCCGCAGACCCTCCAGCTGCAGGGTGAGCAGCAGGCCAGAGACCCAGGCCGGCAGGAAGCACCAGCAGCTGCTCATGTCATGCCTGTCCCTGGCTCAGTGGATGTGTGTCATGTCTGGTCTCAAACATTTTGGGGCTGTGTGACTCTGAGCCAATCTCTCTGAGCCTCAGTTTACGATTCCTGATGTTCTTGGAGGCATGAATGAGAGAATGGATGTGAAATGGCTGGATGTCCCCAGTGAGCAGTAGAGTGGGGTGCCTGAAGGTCAGTACTGTGTTCTCCTCCTCAGCACCCCACAGGAGGGACTCAGAGAGCCTCCTCAGTATCTCTCAAGACTTCTCACAGACTAGGATCGAGACTCTTCCCCAGGACCATGGGAGCCCCACCAGGTGCCTGCTCCTTCCTCATCCTCGCTGAGGGCCTCCTTGGCTTCCAGGTCTTCCCTGAGGTCACCCAGCTTCTCACACTCAAGGCTTTGTGCTTGCGGTGCCCTTGGCCTGGCATGCTCTTCCCTCCAGATATCTGCCTACTCACACTTTTGCTGCCCTCAGCCTCTCCTCCTGTCCCTCCTCAGAAAGGCCACTTATACATCAGAAAACATCCCCTTTCCCCATCACTGTCCTTGGCCCATTCCCAGCACTGACAATGACTTGATGCCACATGATTTCATGATACATCAGCATGTAGTAAAGGCTAGGGATTTAGCTCAGTGGCACTACACCTGCCTCACAAGTGCAAGGTCCTGAGTTTGATCCCCAGTACCAGAAAGAAAAAAAAAAGATTTGGAGCACATAGTAGTCACATCTTACTCTACCATACAGTGGATCCAGATTCTGTGTAAACTCTCCAGAGCTGGCTTTACCACAGAGTTCTCAGTACCCAAGGCTGTCTTCTATACAGCTGGTGGACCTTAAATACTTGAAAGAATCCATAAGCAATGACTGGGTGGCAGTAGGGGGCTGGGCACTGAGTGAGGGATTCAGAGGCCCCAAGAACCCATGGACCACAGAGGCAGGAGGAGCAGGGTGGGATGAGGTTGGGAAGTCCAAGTCCCTGAATGCCAAGGTAAGGTCTCTGCTCAGAGTCCTAGAGCATGAGAGCTGGCAAGGACTCTGGATATCATTCCAACCCTTTCCTGTAACAGTTGAGTAAACCTGACTCCAGGTGACCTGAGGACATCTCTGCAGTGGGTGCCCTTAAAATGGTCTCTGTTCCTCTCTCCCTAGGTCCACAGCAGGGTGCCCCCGCTCCCTGAGAGGAGCGCCTCCCTCCTGGATAAGTCTCCTGCCATGCCTGGTAACCTCATCTACATGGATCTGAGGAAGACGAGCCAGGCACGGCTGGGTGTGGGCACAGCAGTGTCCAGCCAGGCCTGTGCCCCAGGCAGAGAGACCCTGCAGAGACTCTCAGATGGAGACCAGGACAGGCCTGACAACCTGGGGCCTACCCTCCCTGGGCTGAACCCAGACCAGGGCCCAAAAATGCCTGCCACCTCCCGGGGACCACTCCTGTACCCCAGTTCTGAGGCCCAGGGATCCTGGGCTGCTACACGGAGGCAGGGCTTTCAACAGCTGAGCCATGCGGCTCTGTCCTGCTCCCAGGGCAGCTTTGCTGATGCCTCTGACCTTGCTGGGGCCACAGGTCTCCTGCAGGAGGCCTGCGATACAGCTGACCAGGAGGAAAGGGCTTACGAGCAGATCCCAGCCCACCGGAGTGGCCCAGACAGGCTCCCACCTCTCAGGGCCAGTCCCACGTACAGCACACTGTCGGGGCCCATGAACAGTGGCTATGAGAGGACCTCAGGGACCCTGGAGCTCCCAGAGCTGGGCAACACCTACGAGCAAATCCCAGCAGCCAGGAGGAAGGAGCCTGGACGGACACAAAAGGTACACTCCATGGGCAGAGGGGACTGCAGGCCCTGGGGACACCTCGGGCACGGGGAGCTTGGGTCACTGACCCTGCCCAGAAATACCCAGACTTTCCAGCCCTGCCTGCATCTGCCTGGTGGTGGTGGTGGTGATAGGGAGCTGGAAGATTTGGTATAAAAGGTGGGGTTGGGGCCCTGACAGCTTTCTCTGCAGCAGATGGGCTTCCTGCCTCTCTCCCAGCCTCTGCAAGGGTCTTGGAGCATCAGAAAGGCAGAAGAGCCCTTGGCCTTAATTATGGCTAAGCTCCCCACTATCCTAACTTTGGGTAGGACAACTTCCCCAGAATTAGCGAGAAAAACAACAGGGCATCCAGTTAAATTTGATTTTCAGATAAACAACACCTATTTTTTTGTAGTAGGCTTCAAATGCTGCAATTGGTCTTGGTTTGTATGAAAATCAAATGGAGCAAGGCATTCCTCATTGGAGACCCTCCCTAGGACACCACTTCCTTCTCTGTGAAATAAGCTGGTACCTCTGGTTGCGTCCTGCAGCTGCAGCCCAGGGGACAGTGGCAGGCATCCTGTCACACTCTGGGCTTAGCCATGAACAAGGTGTCGTCTCTAAGAAGGAAGACAGGGAGCAGAGAGCAAGAAGGCACAGGGAGGCAGTCCAGGTGGAGCCAGCCAGCGTTCCCAGGAAGCAGGAGCCCCACCCTTCACCCTGCCTGCACCTTGAGACAATGGCCCCAAGAGGCCATCCCTATTGCAGGGCCTTGGTCTCAGGCGCTAGAAGCCTCTGTGCCTGGCCAAGCAGTGACACCCAGGTATGAGGCCTCTGCAGGAGGCTCACTGGCTCCCCACTTGGGCCAGGCTGTGCCCATGCATGCATGCAACAGCCTCCAGGGTCCAACCTTCCCAGGACCACAGAGTCCTTTAAGGACCTCAGAAGCCACATCCCAGGCCTACTCTTCCCCTGGAGGTAGCACCACATCTTGACCCAAATGAGGTGGCTCTGGATACAACTCCTGGCCTCCAGCTAGGGTGGAAAGTTCTGGGGTCAGAGAAGACCAGGCCTCTCCAGGGAGGTCAAGTGGGGCCCACCATCACTTTCCACATCTTCTTTTGTATGTGTGTTGGTTTCTTTGAGACAGGGTCTTGCTCTGTAGTCCAGGCTGGCCTTGATCTCACTACATGGTCCAGGGTGACCTTTAAATTTGCAGTGATCCTCTTGGCTCAGTCTCCTGAGTGCTGGAATTACAAGGTTTTTCTTCTCACACTCTTTCTTTCCATCCCCTCTGTAGCCAGATGAGGGTGAATCCTTCCTGCCAAACTGGCGTGTGAGATAGAGTTTCATGAACTGGGAGAGGCTTGAGAGAGGAGCCAGGAATATTCCAGCCCAACCTCATTTCCTGGGCCCTACTCTTGGCCAGTGTGGAGAGCCCCTAACCCCAAGTCTCTCCCTCCCTGCAGCCTGACAAGCTCCGGAGGCTCTTCTTTGCAGACAAGAAGCACAGGTTCTGAAGAGGGCCTGGCCCTGGTGTTCCCTGGTCCCTGTGCTGTGCTGGGATCATCTGAAGCTCTCCGCTTCAGTGGAAGGTGGCCTGGAATCCTCAACCCAACCAACCACTGTGGACCAGGCTCTGAGACGCAGCCTGGGTGCTTGCAAGAGGGACCTTCCTCAGCCTGTGCGCCTACATGTCCTGCTCCCCAGCACCTCCCAACCACACAGAGGAGGAAAAAGGCCACAGAGCAGGGACTGGCCATGAGCAGGGGTCAGTGTTCCACTTTCCAGAGGAGTGTGCCAAGATGGGCTCGGAGCTCGCTGGAGTGTGGCAGACCTGGGCTGGCAGATACTTTCCTAATGGACAGGGGATACAGTGCAGCTTTCTGGCTCAAGGTCCAAGCAGCAGAAAGGAAGAGGGGCAGGAGCTACTTTCTCTCTCTTGTCCCATAGGGACATGGCAGCAAGGCCTGGCCTGGAAGCCACAGTTTGACCTTAGAACAGGTCAGGGCCCCATCAGCTGCCCACAGCTCCTCCTGGCTTTCCTCAGCCACAGCTGGGCAAATCCTGATGTTCTCAGCCCAACCCCTTTGTGGTACAAAGGAGAAACCAAGGCGCCTGGTGGAGTGGCGGTAGATTGGGGCGACATTGCTAAGCGAACGACCCCTAGAAAGACTGCTCATGCTGGGGCTAATCTGGGACAGAGTGCTGGGTGCCATCCCTGTGTGGTCAGGCCACCTAGGCCTGCCCTCTGCCTCCAGCCAGTCTGACCTGTGGCCCCTCACCCTGTGGCCTTGCCCCATACAGCCGAGGACTGCTGCCCAGCACAGCTCTAGACATGGCTCAGGTCTCCTGCTCCCTCAGTCCAGGCTGGCTCTGCCCGGGATCCTTCCTGTTTTGTTCCTTGTTCCCCTTGCTCACATGTTCCCACCTCCATAAAGGTGACCACTGGGGGCAGTGACCAGGACTGACCTCTCCAGATAGATCACAGGTACCCTCCTTCCTGCCAGACCCTGGGCACACGTGACTTGGAGCACATCTGGGACAGCCTGGCTATGCAACTTCTCCCTCTGAAAAGCAGAGACAGGACGGTCCCTATCTGTGAGGGTGGGAGGATGGAGAAAGGTGCCTCTCCCCAGGGCACCGTGCTGAGACCAAAGCCAGTGCCTGGAGAGGGGAGGCCAAGCTTAACTTTGCTCCATGGGTACTGTGCCCATGGAGGATTCCAGCGACCAGAAAATAGATGCCATGGATCGTTTCCTAACACCAGCAGACACAGTGCAGGACACAGTGTTTACTACAGGAGTTCACAAATCTGTGGTCAGCACACACCAGCTAAATCCCACACCACTAGAGAGGGTGGCCTGGGTGGAGCTCACAAACCAGGCAGAGACAAGGATGGAGCCCTTTAGACTGCTGCTCACACCCCTTTGCCTTGGGAAGGGTGGCAGGGTGGTGGGGTGCAGCCTGGCATTTGGGGAAAAATTGTATAGCTTGTTAAAACCCTGACCTCTTTTTCTGCTTCTCACTGGACAACTGGGGTGTCTGCCTAGCACACAGACAAGTGGGACCCTACCACCTCCCCTTAGGTTTCCTGCCTTCCCCTCCCAGGGAGACAGAGGACCCACAGAGGGACCATGGGCCTGAGGCTGGACCACCTCACACCCTCTTCCCTGGTTAGATTGTTTTTTGCTGTTGGTAGTATAAACCCAGGGCCACAACTCCTCTTCTGGGCGGCCGAGGCCACAGCCCTGCAGACAGCATTGAGGATGGTGGGCTTCCAGCCCCTCACAGGGCCCTCAGATCCGGATGTGGAAAGTGCTGGGAAGACAGAAAGGGTGAGGGGGTGAGAGGCCACCATGGGGCAGGCGGAGGCTCCTAGGGAAGAGCTAACCTAGCCCCAGGCAACTAGGGAAGCCAAACCGAAGGGCCATTAAGGACCCCAGGGAGAGAAGCCCAGATGAACGGTGGCCCTTGGGGACTCCAGCCGCCCATCATAACCAAGGACCTTCAGAGTCTTCATGCTTCCCATGGGAGTCTGGGCCTGCAAGGGCCTTGTGTGTGACCTTCTGGCCTGTGCATACTGCCCATGGCTGTCCCCCGAGATGGGCTGCCCACTATGACCCCAGCGTCCTGTCTGCCCCGCCTGAGCCCTAGGCTGGCGATACCTGAGGAAGTCGGGGGCCTTGGCAATCATGTCCTCAAAGTCCGCAAAGCCCAGTTTGCCATCGCCATCCAGGTCAGCCTCCTCGATGACCTTGTCACACACCAGCACCACCTCATCTTCATCCAGCTCCGACTTCGTGAGTCGAGCCAGCGTCAGCTCCAGATCCTCCTTGCAGATGAAGTTGTCAGTGTTGAAGTCTGCAGGCCAGAAGGCAGGTGCCGGTGGAGACGTTTGAGCCAGGGCTGGATCCCCCAGAAGCCCCAAGGAGTCCTGCCCTGTGTTAACCTTGCTCCTGGGTGGCACACTGACTTCTGTACCAGCCTCTGGGGTATCCAGGCTATCTTCATGCACATTCCAAGGATACTGGGGACCAAGGGGGCTCACCTATAAGGCATATCTTAACCATGTACAGTTGACAATCAGTATTCAGAGCACCCACCAACCCCATGAGTGTGTGCACAACCATAGGCTAGACCTGAGAGTCCCTGGGGACCTTGGCCCTCCCGGCCTGACCCCAGGGGACTTCTAGAGTGAAAGACACCAAGGCCCAGATTCTAGGCCAAGTGACTGAGTCAAGGCCAGAGAGCCATTCAAAGAGGAAGTGGGGACCCTGCCTGGGGCCTACTGGACTAAGACCCGCATTCCCTGAGTGGTACCATGTGCACTGGAGGGCCTAAAGTCACACACCTGCAGCTAATTAACACATGCATCGTGCTGTGCCCGATACAGACATGCAATTTCATCTGTTAAAAAGAAAAGTCACGTTGGGGGAAGCAGGAGCCCCTTGGGGGGGGGGACACACAACAGGCCTTGTGTACACGGGGCAGAGAGCATGGTTTGATTCCTCTGAGCTTAAGGTCCCACTACCATCCCCAGCACAGCAGAGTGGTTCACAGGACTGAACCACGTGTACCAGGTTCATCACAGTGAACTGACACCCTTCTCACCATACTCAGCCTAAAGCCACTTGAGTTCTCCTGCCTTGGGCGCCCTTCCAGCAAATACCTATTCACCCTCCAAGTTTCTGCAGAAATAGCACCCCCAGGAGGAGCTTTCTAGATGTAAGGACCCCCTTGTCAAGCTCTTCTGCCCACTGGGCTGAGACGTGAATGATGTTGATGAAGATGGTAACTGCTGTGAGCACTGTGTGTCCTTCCTCATTTGATTACTCTATGGACAGGACTTGCTGAGGTTGCATCCCCGGTCTATGCTGGACCTGCAGCCTGAGCACTCAAGGGTGCCCAGCACTACCTTCCTGTCTCAGCACTGGGCATGAAGGCCTCCGGGACAGGCACATGGTGGTTTTATCTCTGCCCTTGGTGGCACAAAGAAGGGTCTGACAGACGGCGGACTGGTCCCTCTGCTCATTCACTGTGCTTTCCTCTTGGGCAGATAAGTCTTTCCCAGATGGGTGGAATTCCAGAAGCTCTCAGCATGAACCATGCAGCATGATTTAAGGGTAGACACACAGGAGCTGGCTTTCTAACACACAAACACAGTGTGGATATAGCTAAACCAAAATCTTCTGAAACAAACATCACAACAAATCAATGTAATCAGCCCGATTGGTTAGGCTGCCTTGGGATCACAGCTGCCTAAGGTGCTGAAGACAGAAGGCTTATAATGGCTCTTTTGGTCCAGGACCAAAAGGCCCAGCCCTCTTTGGGCCTTTTTGTCCATGTCTGAGAGGGGACACCACCCCCACAGGCCTTCAGTGGGTGAGCTGAGTGAGAAGTTCCCTCTCTCTGGCTAGGGGAGAAGTGTTGCATTCTAGCGCCCTCTGGTGGCCCTTGAGAGGCAGGCCGAGGACTGGGCCACGAAATGATAACATAGTGTTGGGGGCCTCCTTGCTGCCTGACCTACCTCTCTACAACAGCCTAGGCCTCCTTTCTGGCCCCACACTCTATAGGGCCATATGACCTCTCCATAACATAGCTGCCCTTTCCCCGGAGCCCTGTGGTGCCAGGGACCTGAGTGCTAATCTGCCTCTGGACTCACTGCCTCCCTATCCCGTGCCCCAACCTCTCCTGTTTCCCTGAGCCCTCAGCATCTCGCTCCCATGAGTCCGCAAGGACACCCCCCCTGCCATGGATGCCACCTTGTGTCTTCAGGAGACATACCTCCTCAGGTCCCAGATCCTGACCCAATGTCACCACATTTGTCTTTTCCTCACACCAACCAAGACTGTCTCCCAGGTGTGTTTTGTCCCCATGGCCAGGCCCCAACACAGGCACCACTCAGAGGACAGCTCTGCTTCCTGTCCCTGTGCCCCACACCCTGTGTCCTCAGCACGGCCCCGCACACCAGGCCCTCACCGTAGATCTTGAAGGCATAGTTGGCCTTCAGCTCCCGGGGTGCTGACTCACAAAGCACAGAGAACATGTCCACAAAGTCGTTGAAGGTGAGATTCCCCTCACCATCCTCGGAGAAGGCCTCCACGATCCTCTCCTTGAAGGGGTTCTCCTAAGAAGGACAGCACAGCCGTCACTGTCACCAGGCCAGCCAAGCAGGGGGCTCAGAGATTATAGCATGCATGGCCTCACACATGTGGCCTGACCCTCTGTACCTCAGTTTCCCTTCTGCAAAATGGGAACAGTGAGGGTACCTGCTCAGCTGGGTCGTCAGGGACTCCAGGAGCTGAAGCACGTGCAGGTGGGAGCCTGTCTGGAAGGGTGAGGAGCCACACAGGGCCTCTGTATGCTCGCAGGAGCTGTGCCTCACTGAGGCAGGAGCGAGGATCCACCCTGCAGCCTGGAGCAGCACCAAGGTGTCCCCTCCACAAGAGGAAGACAGCACTTCAGGAGGTCGAGGTGGAACCAAGGCCTGAAAGGTCGAATACCTGGACCCAGATGCTCAGCAAGAGTCACAGAGCCAGTGCCAGCACCAGGCTTGCAGTCACCAAGTCAATTCCTACCCCTGGGGGCTGGACATCAACCTCCTTCTCCGATGCCACATGACTTGGGCCCACACTCCCAGACTCCCTTGTCCCTGCTGCCCAGCACTTGGGCAGCTCACCGCGTGCCAGGCTCAGGCCGCCCAGAGGCTCAGGTACAAAGCACGTGGCTCCTTTTCTTGGGCACTGCAGGCTCTCCACACTGTGAGCCTGGTCCCTTCCCTTATAGGCAGGTTCTCGTCCAGGGTCATGTCTATGGCTTCTTGTCTCTCAGGGGACACCGTGCTGTGCACTGACCCCACCTTCAGGACCCCAGGCCCAACCCGGGGCCATCTGCAAGGACCTCTGGCTGTGCGGAGTGTGCCCAGGTGCCTTCTAATGCTGGGGTGCACTTCATAGGCTGGGTGGGGAACGTGGGGATGGAGCACCCAAACAGCATGTGACCTGGGCACAGCCCAGCAGCCTCGCCCAGCAGCCAATGGAACCCGCCCCAGACGTGCTGACCCTAAGCCTGCATTCCAAAACCAGTCCCAAGTGACTTGGGTATGTTAGTGTCTGAGAAGTGACACTGTCAACAGCCATGCTGACCTCAACATGGAGCCACGGCCAGGCAAGGGGAGGAAAAAGGTCACCCGAAGGACAGCAGGTCAGGCCACTCTATCAAGGTCAGGCAGGTGGGCAAGGACTGGCATTGGGCTCTGGGAGAGCCCTGATCCACAGCCCTGCATAAGTGACTCATTCCTTCATTGAGACATGGAGAGGTCCAGACATCTGCTCAGTGCCATGCAGCCATGCAGGGGGGTGCTCAGGTGCCGCTTAGATGGGTGCTGATGCTGCCCACTCTGGGTGCAGATGCCCATCCCCTGCCCACCTGCAGGGCATGCACATACCCGGAGCTCTGGCATCTGGATGATCAGGCTCCTGGGCACATGGACAATAGGGCTCTTCCTGTAGTCCATGGGTACCAGGTTGGGGGCCAGCTCGTAGAACCGTGCGTGCAACCTTGGGGAGCAGAGGTAAGGCGTGAGGGGCTGCCACCCTGCCTCCTGGTGCCCCCTGACCTGGTCTGGCCTAGCTCTGAAAACCAACCTCAACCAGAACCAGATGAGGGGCAAGAGGGGACTACCCTGCCCATAGGAGGTGGGGTTGGCAGGGAGCGGGTCTCTGCCCAGAGCTCTGTGCTGACAGAGACGGTGCCTAGACCCAATGCTTCCCCTCCTCCTCTGCCCCTGAGCCCACACTTGGGTCTTTCTAATGTTTCTTCTGTGCTTAGCACCTGACTCAGGTTATCTATTTTCCCTCCTCCCCCTCACTGTGCAGATGCACCCCCATTTACAGCTCAGCAAACCAAGGTCTGAGAGTGAACAGTGATTTGTCTAAGGCCACACAAACCTCTCCCCTCCACCAAGTTCAAGAAGACTTACATATTTATCCTACCCTAACATCTAGGACCAGACATACTTGTGTTACTTGAACTGCTCGAGCAAAGGGCAAAATGTGAAAGGTTTATTTTAGAAAGTTAACAGCAGCCTGATGGCAGGACCCAGTGAGTGGCATCTAGAACGAGCCAAATGCACCTACACACCTAGGTGCAAAAGTCTTCTAAAATAACACACCCAAAAGTCACATCCCAGAGGGTCTAGAAGAACGATGTCATTAGGACCAACAAGGGTTTTCGTCAGGATGTAAGGATGGCTCTGTATCTGGAAATCTGTGACTATAAGTCACATTCACAGGCAAACATTTTTGATCAATTAAATGCATATGACTATGGCTGAATGGACACAAAAACATATCCGACAAGTCCCATACCACATGTCACACTGGAGAGCCCTTTGAATGTGAGGGGAGAAGTAAGGGGAGGGGGCTGGTTTCACTCATTCCTTTTTTTTTTTTTTTTTTTGGTACTGGGGATCAAACTCGGATCCTTGTGCTTGCGCAGTAGGCAGCGAAACCACTGAGCAAAATCCCCAGCCTCACTCATTACTTTTTACCTACTTTTGAATACTTTTTGGTTCTTAAAAATTTTTTTTGGTGCTACAGGTTGAATTCAAGGTTTCATGCCTGCAAAACACACTCTCTTACCACTGAGCTATACCCTAGATCCAATTTGTTTAGTTTTTTTTTTTTTTGGTACCAGGGATCGAACTTGGGTCCTTGCACTTACGCAGCAGGTGGCAGAACCACTGAGCTAAATCCCCAGCCCTCCAATTTGTTTAGTTTTTAAAAGTATTTGTTAACAAAAATAAAAAGTATGCTAAAAGTATGTATTATTTTTGTCAACAAAAAATCACTTAAAATGTTTAGCAAAACAGAAACAAAAGGAGTTTTTGTTTAGAACTAGAAAAGAAAGAGCATCTATATCTCAAATGAGTTTTTAAAATTATACTTAATAAAATACAGGGATAAACCCATACAAAAGGGATACCTATAATCACCATTATTGTATAAGATTACTTTAGGAGTGCTTGTGAATGTAATTAAGACAATAAAATAATACATTCAAATATTGGAAAGGAGGAAGCAAATTATGATTATTTGCTGGAAAATCAAAAATAATAATTTTTAAAACTATTTGAATTAGAAAAGGCTCAGGATCTTTTCTACACAGACAAATATATATAGTGGACCCTTGAGTTATAACCGGCCTGACATACAAAAAACTTGGGTTACTTCTGGAATTTTTGTTTTAACTTACAAAGTCTTGAGTTATAACCCAAATGCCGGTTGCTTGTGCTTCCAGATGGTCTCAGGTACAGATTTAACCCTTAAAGAGTTCGGGAAGGAACATCACAACATACTTTCCTGTGTGGAGTTAACTGAGAAATCCTGGGCCAGTGTCTCTAAGGACACTGAGATCTGCCTGTATACAGGAGAGAGACTTTGAAGGAGTCTGAGCCTTCAATTGAACAATCTGAGTTACAACCAGCCCTTGGGAACAAATTGAGTTCATAAGACAAGGGTTCACTGCATATTTACATATATATATATTTACATCTCAGCATTAGTTTATTTATAGTAATTTTTTTTTTTGGTACCAGGGATCGAACTCGGGACCTTGCGCTTGTGAGGCAGGCGCCAGAACCACTGAGCTAAATCCCCGGCCCAGCATTAGTTTATTTTTTAAAAAATGATTACAAAGGCCTCACTGAAAGCTGGGCTGCACCTCAGTGCTAAGCAGTTGTCCAGCATGTGGGAGGCACTGGGTTCCACCCGAGCTCCATGTGCACACAAAGTGAAAAGGTCCAATTCACACAATTCAAAAGAATCACAAAGGCAGAAATGACTAAATATAAAATTAATACAACATATATATTAAAAACATAGAACTGCACCTGCCTGGCGAGTGCAAGGTCCTGAGTTTGATCCCCAGTATATTAAAAAAACCAAAAACACAGAATTCAGCTGGGTGTGGTGATGCACTCCTGTGATTCCAGCCCTCAGGAGTATCGCCCCTGAGTTCAAGGCCAGCCTGGGCTACATAATGAGTTCAAGGCCAGCAAACAAAAAAAAAAATAGAACTTTACCAAAGGCTATTAAAATGTTTTAGGTAGCTAGATAACTGTTATGTTTTTCTTACTAGAAAGACTTAATATTCCAATGAAGCCAGCTTTCTCTTCAGTTTTCCTTAAAATAAATACAATCCTCGGGCCAGGGATTTAGCTTAGTGGTTTCACCGCCTGCTGCGCAAGCGCAAGGACCCGAGTTCAATCCCCCGTACCAAATAAATAAATAAATAAATAAATAAATAAATAAATAAATAAATACAATCCTGATCAAGATCTGCAAAAGGTATATTTGGGAACTTGCCTGATTCAAAACTTTGTTTGGAGCAATAAATGTAGAAGAGTTGGGGGGAAAAGCTTTTTTAAAAAGACCAATTGGGAGAACATTTGCCCTATTAGATGCTAAAAGTGTTCAAAGCAGTAATAAGAAAAATAGTATGAAACTGACACTGGCATTAAAGGGCAGCATAGTGGGAGAGGTAGACTTAGATGTAAAAGATAATCAGTTTATGATATACAGCATTTGAAATCCCTGGGGAAAAGACCTGCTTTGTCTGAGTGTCAAAACCAGTGTCCACCTTAATGCCTGGCTTTCACAGACTATTTAAAAAATAATTAGCCAGGTACGATGGCACAGGCAGGTAATCCCAGCTATTCGGGAGGCTAGCTCAGGAGGATCAAAATTTTGAGGCCATCTTGCGTGATCTAGAGTGAACCAGACTCAAAATAAAAAAAGTGAAAAAGTGGGCTGGGGATTTAGCTTAGTGGTTCTGCCACCTGCCTCGCAGGCGCAAGGTCCTGAGTTCGACCCCTGGTACCAAAAAAATGGAAAAGGGCTGGGGAGATAGCTCAGTATGAGGCACTGGGTCAATCTCCAGATGATGATGATGATGATGATGATGATGCTTATTTAGAATTTAGTTCTCAATGTTTATAAAGGAAGAGATTTCACATTACGCAGTTGGGTTTCTTGGCCATGCTGGGGCTAACAGCTGCTGGACAGCTGCATTTACTTACAGCGCATGCTGGCACCAACAGACAGCTGAGTTTCAGACTCCTGGGTTAGTAGCTCAATCTGGAGGCCCTGGATACAATCCCTAGTACTACAGACACACACACACGCGCGCGCGCACACACACACACACACACACACAACACACAGTTGAGAAAATAAAAAATAAGGTAACAACTAGACAAACACCTTGGTGTTAATGGGCTAAGTCTTTCTCTGTCCTGAGGGGACAAGGACTCCTGTGCTATGCATTCAGGAACACAACAGAGCTGGGGCAAGGAGATGAAGCCTTGAGCTTCCACCCACAGAAGGAAAGAGGCTAGTGGAGTGGGGGGTCACATGGGACTCGGTATAGGGTGAGGGGAGAATGGGGCCCACCACTTCTTGTGCCTGGTGTCACCAACGCATGCTGCTGAGAGGAGCCTCCCACTCAAGCTTCCTCCTCGCTAGCAGTCAGCTGCTGCTTTCCAAGACAGCTAGGGACAGGGCTGGGAGGAGAGCAGACCACACAGCGTTCTGTGCTGTGAACAGTAGGTGGGCCCGTGGGGCAGGGTGGCGGGCATCGGTCACCCTGGCTCTCCTGGAGCCCAGGAAGGGGACTGAGGAAAGCAAAGGGGCTGAAACAGGGATGGGGCCACAGCGTCCCTGCAGGGAGAGCTCACCTGGAGCCCTCCCCATGGGAGGGAGTTGGATGGCAAACCCCGGGTGCCCTCTGTGACATTTAACACTGTCTCTCTGGCCCCTCCAGCCACAGGGACCTGGAGTAAACAGCGCCAGGGATACTCCATCCCCACCCACAGGTGGGACCCCTAAGACTGCTGGGGACAGCCAGGGCTCCTGGTCCAGGGTGACATGGCAGGGACAGACCCAGGCCTCCTACTTCATGGGGACATGATGGGGATAGGAAGCTTCACCTCCCCTCCCCACTTGGCCAATGTGTACAACAAGCCCTGGGTTCAGTCCGCCGAGTCCCGGAGTGCTAATCCAGAGCCAGGTCTTGAAGGAACCAGTGACAGAATGGGGAGGGCATCCACAGTCGGGAGGGGGTCTCCAGCTGCCAGGGGTCCTTCACCTCTCTTGGCCTCGGGCTTGGCTTCGAGCTACAGAGGCTGGGGTGCTGCCAGGTACAGAGTTGAGCAGGACAAGGATATAGGAGCCAGGACACCCCCAAAGGCTTGGCATAGCAGTTCTGGCACCTACTCTGGCCTTCAGCCACCCTCCCCTGGGGCAACCCCTGCTGCTTTGGTAAGACCAGTTCCGGGGTAGGAGAGGCCATGTCCTTAACCCACTGCTCTCCAGCTTAGAATGCCCTCCCATCCTTTACACAGGCTCCTCCAGCAACTGACAGGAGCCAACGGTGCCATTCCTGACACCAACTGGGGGCAGGGAGGCCCAATTCTGCCCAAAGGCAAGTCCAGGCGGTGCTGGGATCTAAGCTAGTGATCCCCAGAGCTCCCTAGGCTATGAGAGCACTGTGTTCTGGGGTGCCAGGAGATGGGGGACACCCAGCTGACTCTGGAGGGAAGTGTGGCCATCTCAAGGCAGAAGTGACAAATTGGTCCCAGGTGGCAGGGATGACCTGTAAAAAGGCCAGAATGAAAATGGTGCAGGTCTCAGGAGAGATACAGCCTGGGGGACATCTGCAACGTGGGGCATGGGTGAGGGCTCCCTACAGGAGAAGACAGGTGTGGCAAAGCTTAGGAAGGTCTGCCCACCACAGCACTGGGGTGGTGGCTGTGGGATGCATCCAAGAGCCACCCTGTCCCAGTGGGGACTCTGCTCACATCACCAAGCAACAGGCCAAGTCTCAGTCATCAGACACTAAGTAGGGCTCTGCCTCCATTTCCCAGGGGAGCTGAGGCAGGGAGGTCACACCTTGCCTGCAGCCACAGAGATGGGACTTGGGGGTAGAACCCAGGTCCCCCAGAGCCAGGCCTCTGAGGGGGGAAGCAGGGGTCCCTACTTGCCTGGGGACAGGTAGAGTGGCAGCCTGCACAGGCACACTGGCTGGCCAACCAGAAAGGTCAGGGGCACATTGCAGCACAGAGCTCGGGAAGCCACACAGGCCCTGGGCCATCCTCTACTGCTGTCCAGGGAACATGAGCCCGAGGCTTTGCTGGCTTTTGATGCCACCTGATAGCCTGGGCTGGGGGCCCAGTCGAGGCCACAGGGCAGGCTTCCCACTCTCTGTGATCCCAGCCCTCTGTCTGGTCCTGTGGTTCTGAGACCCTCATCTATCCTCCCACGGCCACTCCCTCGACCCACCAGGACAAGGCTGCCCCTGACTGCTAGACCTCCCAGGGGCAGGAGGACACTGGGAGCTGGAATACAACAGGGGCTCCCTGCAGCAGCTGCCCCATGACGCAGGGAAGCAGCAAGGGACCTGTTAGCGGCCAGGACTGTGGTCCTTGGTGGTGTTGCTGGGCTGCTGAGCCTCATCTGTGTGGCGGTTCTGGGGTAACGGGATCCTCTTGTTACAACGTCACACTGAGGATTAAATGACCCCTACCCTGGAGAGAGGCCAGCATAGTAAGCAGATGCTTCACGCCTGGCAGAGGAGCTGGGAGCAGTGGGGAGCTCTCTGGTCTGCACAGCGGCCCAGTACACCTGAGGTCTGGACACAGTGCCCAAGTCCTTCCTCCATGCCGGCTCCTGTAGGCAGTTCACACAGGGTCCCCAGCCCACCCTACTGCAGCCCCAGCCCTAAAAGGGGTGGACCGGAAGCCACACTTACTTGAGGATGTCCTTCTTATTGAAGAAGGTGCAGTCCTGTGGAGGCAAAACACATGCAGTGGGCTGGGGTCCCAGACCCCTTCCTCAGAGCCCTGCAGGCACAAGGCATCACTGGACAGCGCTAGACAGAGCCAGAAGTCGCTACGAACCCTGCCCACCTCATCCAGAGACACCTGACTCCAAGGAATCTTGGGATGCCAGGCCAATGCATGTGACCCACTGGGATGCACAGCGGGGAGAAAGATGGGGCGCTCACAGGTGGGCATGGCTGGCTTGAGAGCCAGCAGGATGTGCTGTGGGAGGATGGCTGCTGAAGATAGCTCTGGAAACCCCACACTGCAGGCCACAGGCCGCTCCACCTCTATGCGGCATCGCAGCGTGAAGGGAGAAGGTCTCCTTGGCTGGATGCAGGGCCCAGTGGGTTCCTATAAGCAACAGACGACAACCAGGCAGGCCCTGGGTACAACCTGGAGCTGCTGGATACCAGGGCAACTGGGCTGCACACGGAGGCAGCTGTGTGAGGATGCACAGGACACACACAACGACGACGATTCCATCTGAGCACCTCCAGTAGAGCTGCAGGGGTCCCTGGCGTGGCTTTCCAGGACCTGTGGAGCCCAGTGAGTCTCTTCTTCTGAGGTTCTGTGGCTTCCTGGTTAGATGAAGACCCCATGCTGGCTTGCCCCTCTTGGAAGGAAACCCAGCGGTGGGGGATGGGGTAGGGTGGGGGTGGGGTTGCAGCTGTTTTGCTTTTGTCAGTGGCTCTCTGTGGGAGCCAGGAAAGGCTCAGGGAGCACAGACAGGAAACTCCCTGCCTAGCAGGCCCAAGGCTCAGATGGGAAGGGACCATGTGGGCAGATTTCTCAGGAGGCCTCAGGCCTGCAGGAGGCAGCAGAGGCAGGGGCTGTACCTCCCAGGTGCAGACCACCCCCAAGGCAGGACTAGAATGCAACAGGTCCTGGCTCCGCTTCCCTCCCCTGGCCTGTGGACCCCACCCCCCCACCTCCCCACCTCCCCTCTCCTCCCTCTCTCCTATGGGGAAGCATCTTTGGTTAGAAAGAACGCAGCCCCTTACCATGCATTGGCCTGGCTTAGGAGGCCCTGATCAGTGGGTGCCACTGGAAAAAGATGCACAAGTTCCCCACATAACCCTGGTCCCTCGTCACAGCTACAGCTCTCCTCACCAACAGTCCTTACGGCTTGGTACCTGGATCAGCAGCAGCAGCCTTGCTGGGAACTTGGTGGAAATGCAGACTTTCAGACCCCACTCCAGATTCTGAATCAGACACTCAAGGGGCCCAGGAACCCGCATTTCCAACATCTCCCAGCGAAGCTGAAGTGAGCAAACATGAAGATGTCTGCCCTGGAGCAGAGTCACCGGGAGCTGTTTAGAATGTCTGTGCTCCCTGTGAACCCTAGGCAGACCCCAAACCAACTAAACAGGAATTCCTGGGGGTCCATCTGAAGGGGTCTTCAAAGCCACTTGGGCAAGTCCAAGGTGCAGCCAGTCCAAGAGCCACCTCACAGCAAGACCGCGTTTACCACACACCTGGCACTAAATATTCTAGTCAACTTGGGCTGGGCATAGTGCTGGACGCCTGTAACTCTGGCACTCGAGAGGCCGAGGCAGGAGGATAGCTCTGAGTTTGAGGCCGGCCTGGGCTACATAGTGAGTTCAAGGCCAGCCTGAACTACATAGTGAGACCCTACCTCAAAAAAACCCAAAATAAAATAAAGTCGACTTTGGTTAGTCCTCCACACAGCCTAGGGGGCAGGCTTTACCTCTCTATTTTACCCTTGGAGAAACCGAGGCTGAGGACCTGGCCAGAAGATGTGGGGCCTCAGGACTCAGCAGCAGTGAACAGGCCAAGCTGATTTTCCTAGTGAAGTCAGAGGTCACTCAGTGACAGCCTGCACCTACCCCCAAGCATAGGACACTCTTCCCTACCCAGGGGAACCACCCTCCCTCCAGTGTGCCCAATCCCTCCACGCTCTAGAGCTCAACTCACGTGCTGCCAGGGGGAGGGGGGAGTCTCCCCACCTGCCATCTCCCACATGCCTGGCCCCATCCAGCTATGCCCACCCCAGCCTGGCATTGCCCTACCAATTCCATGCAGTGTGAGGTCAGTCTCCAGGGTAGCCTCAGGCCACCTGGTTAGGAACTCCTGTCTTAGAGGAGGCAACCCTGAGGCCTGAAGAACACAGTGCTCGCCAAAGCCCAGTACGTGCACTGCCCGCTATGCCCTTATCCCAGGTCTGCAGAATCCCTGTCTGAGTCACCATTCACTCATTCATTCAACATCCTTGGGCGCTCCTCTGTGCCTCAGTGGGGACCACACAGGAAGAGAGAGGGGTGTCAACACACACATGACACAGTGTAAACCACTCTGCAGTACAAGAGGCTGGAGATGAGTGTGTGTCGTGGGCCCTCTGAGTCCTCTGCTGAATGGACTAGGGGAGCTTGGAGGGCCCTGCCCAGTGCAGTGAGGCCTGCCCTGGACAGAGGTGGCAGAATAGGCTGGAGAATGGGTGATGGTGCTTGCCAGAAGGTCTTCAGGGTGCCTGGAACATGGAATGAGAACTGAGGCCAAAGGCCACAGAACCCAGGCCAGGCTAGTGTTCTGGAGTCAGCATGGGTGGTCACCCCAAGACACCATGGAATCACCGAGAGAGGGGAGGGTCACATCTGTCCTTCAGAAAGGTCCCTCCTATCCTGCATGGCTGTCCCATGGACAGCTCCCCTAAGGACTCCCACAGCAACAGGAGCCTGGCTGACACAAGGTCAGTGCCATTCTGCCACAGGATGATGATCAAAGAATAACTGTGCTTTCCAATGGTGATATACATGTCACTGAAAGGAAGAGGAAGGAAGGAGGGAAGAGAAGAGGGAGGATGAAAGGGGAAAGAAGGAAGAGGAAGGAAGACGGAGAGAAACAAGAGATGAGGAATGTGGTCAGATCTCCCAGGAGATGAAGAGGCCTGGCTCAGGGCCAGCATAGGGATAGAAAATGGGATTTCCAGGTGACAGGAATGTGAGGCTGAGTCACAGGGCCTGTTCCTAAGGGAAAACGTGGGTTCAGGGACAGTAAAATGTTGTAATGGCTGGAGGAGCAGCAGTGGGTTTGGGGGAGTGGTGGGACCTGTTTTAGGGTTTGAGGGGGTCCAGGTGGTGGGTATGCAATGCATTGGAATGATCTGGACAAGAGCCTAAGCTTTGGGTATCCTTGGCCCCTGGAAACGAAGGCAAAACCCTGCCTTGGAAAGCAAAGACTGTCAGACTGAGAAGTCCAGGGAAAGCTGGGGGTCACTTGGAGGTGGGGCAGCTGTAATGCAGGGTCACTCCATCTGGCCCTGCAGCCAGGCTGGGGAACTAGAGGGAGGAGACAGGGTTCTCAGGTTTCATGGCTTTCATTTCTCCCACCCTGTCTAGCAGGGCCCTGGCAAAGGACCAGAACCCAACACTGGGCTGGGCTCTGCTGGGGAACCCAATGCCAGGCTGATTGGAGTGGGAACCAGGGCCCTATCCCCACCAGGGTGCACTTTACTTCTGGGTGTGGGCTGCTTGCCATTGCCACCTCCAGCCTTTATCCCAGCCACCCCTCTACTGGAATGTCTCCTCCAGGTGCCCTAGCCAAACTCCAACTCCAAGGGCCTGTCCGGCACTGCCCTGTTTCTAGTTTCTGCACCTTCCAACCTCAGCAGAAGCCCCTGCCCTGCCAACCTCCCCTGCCCACCAGCACTTTTCCCTGGGACACACTCTGCCACCTGCTTCTGTCACAAAGGCCATACCTGGAGGTGACAATCTGTCTCAGCAGAGACTCTGAATGCAGAGCCCACTTCTGAAGGAAGGGAAGCCTGGGATTCATGATTCAAATGCTTATGAGCTCTGCCTGGCCTCCACAGTAATGAACTCCCTTGTCTGTCTACTCTCCTGCTGATGCCACAGCAGGGTCTGGAACACAGCAGGCACCCCATACATGCAGAGCCTCTCTTCCTGCCCCGGCCTCTTGCTAGAACTGAGAAACCTGTGTTACTGATGACGAGGGCTTCTGGGGGAAAAGGGCCTTTTATTGCATCTTTGCCCATAGCAGAGGACCTACGCTTTAAGCCGACACAATCATTCATGAAATCACAAGCACCTACTGTGTCCCTCTCTCCTGGGAACAAAGGTAGCCACACATCCTGCCCCCTGCCCGAGGATCAGAGAGGAGCCATCAGAGTTGGGCCCTGAAGTATAAGGACGACCACCTGGAGATGGAAGAGGATCCCAGGCCCAGGAGCCAGCACCAGAGGAGGGCAGGAACTGCACAGTGTTTTCAGGTGACCACAAGCAGAGGCAGGCAGAGAACTGGGGACACTGTGATGCAGAGGGGAAGGGGGGGCTCCATCCTACAACCCCAGAAGCCTCCACAGGTGAGAGGTCAGATCCCACCTGGAGAGGGGCCTTAGGGGTTCTGTTTGGGCTCAGAGGGCAGAGGGAGGCCCATGGCTCGCCTGCTTGCTCCCACGCAAGCCAAGGTGAGCCCCAGAGGACCTCGTGCTTCAGCCCCCTGTGGCCCCACATTCACTGACTGACTCTCCATCTTCCTCGCGGTGGCCCAAGGCTGTACCCGGAGGGCAGAGGGCGGAGGGCGCGGCCCGAAAATCACCAGCTGAGACATGCCTCATCCCTGGTAGGGAAACTGAGGCTGGGGGTGGGGGTGGTGTCACCAACCCAAGGTCAGGCGCAAGCAGAGGCCCTGCTCACCTGGTAGTTGTCCAGCTGCTCTTCGGTGAAGATGGTCTGTTTGTTCCCCATGGCGCCAGCCCGGAGCCCAGAGCCCCGCGCCCCCGCCCTCGCCAGCCGGGGAGGGCAGAGTCCGCGGCCCGCCGCCTCCCCTAGCTGCCGAGAGGGGGCGCGCGCGGGGTGTGGCGGGACCAGAGGGCGGTGCGCGGGGCGGAGCCAGAGCGCAACCCGGGGAGGGGCGGGGCTGAGGCGGGGCTGGTGGGCGGGTCCAAGGGCGTGGCCGTGAAGGGTGGGGCGGGGCTCAGTGAGGGGTAGGGCAGGCGGAGATGGGGCCGGGGCGGGTCAAGGGCGGGGTTGGGGAAGGGGTGGGGCGGGGCCTAATTTGAGGAAGGGGAAGTCCGAGGCGGGGCCGGAGAAGGGGGAGATTTATCCTTGAGGGGGCAGAGCCAGGTGGGAAGGGAAGGGCGAGACCTAGCCAGAGGGGGCGGGACCAAACCCGAGAAGGGCGTGAACTGGAAGGCACCAGGCACCGCTTACCTTGCGCCACCCGGGGTACCCAGGACTTCCGGTCGTGCGGGATTTGCGTTCCCAGCAAGGAAGTTCCCTCAAGGGTGTGGGGGCGGGGTCCCGGGACAATGTGCGGGTCCGGCGAGCAGCCACGCCCCCTCGCGCGACCTTGACGCGCCCTTGCCCGGCCCTGTCTCTGGGAGGGCGAGGTCGGGCCGCTGTGCCCTCAGGCTGTCCGCACCTGGCCCTGACCGCGCGGGCCTTCTCGCGGGTCCCTTAGGGAGAAGGACAGGGCTAGCTCAGTTCCAGTGAGATGGAAAGGACTCATGGTGTCCAAGGAAGGGTGGCAAAGGCCATGACATTTTCTTGGGGTTTTAAGCACTTGTCATGTTAAGGAGAGAAAACTTTACCCTGGTAGGATGTTGGGTTGGGCCTGAGAAATAACTGGATTATGACATGTTCAAAGCAGAAAATCATACAGATGTATTGAATGTTAGATTTACAGGACATGGAGGCCTCATAAGGAAGCCAAATCCTGGAGAACTGGCAAAACAGAGGCGACTGTGGGAAAATCATAGGATTATATGGGGAAGCTAAAAGAAAATAAATATTATTTTAATAAGATCTGGGCAGAATTATCTAGTCTCAACCTGACCTTGATAGTATTTCTTTTCTCCTGGTTTAGGGGGGGCAGCTCCCACATGGGGATTTCATCACTTCTGTTTTCAAGAAAAAGAAAGGAGTCAGCATGGGGCATGCCTGTATTCAAAGCACTCTGGGAGGCTGAAACAAAGGGATGAATTCAATCTCAGCTTGGCCACTTTAGTGACTTAGCAAGACCCTGTCTCTTTCCTCCTTTGTCTATAGAGTTTTGTCATCCTGGCCTTTCTCCTGACATAGCTGCTGTTTGTGTCCTGTAAGCAGTTAGTGTGTCTGCCTCACCCCCCAACACCCTGCTGCTCCTTGTTTAACCAGGCCTATACCCTGGCACTAAACTCTATAGCACTGAACAGCTTGTGTAATTTTTCTGCATCTTAGCATTATGCACATAGTAGGTTCTTCATGTATATAGTATCTGGTGGTTAAATAAATACACAGCCTGAGATTGTCTCTTTTGGAGGGGTATTATTTCCTCTTAACCACCAAAATACAGGATGGCTGGGACATTTTCTTGGCTCTCTATCCCCAGAGTCTAGGGCAGGGTCTTAATAAATTGGAATCCATATTATTAAAAGAATAATGGCTGTAATCCTGACACTCTGGGAAGCTGAGATGATCGAAAATTCAAGTCTAATCTGGGCAACTTAGACTCTGTCTCAAAATAAAAAATAGAAAGGGCTGGGGATGGAGCTCAGCATAAAAGTCCTGGATCCAATCCCCACCCCCCACCCCCAATATATTTTCTTGGTCCCGTTTACACGTGGAATCAACTAGATCTACAAACACCCTGACCTGGAAAAGATTTTCCTGCTAGGGGATCAAGTGACCAGCCCTTTGGTCCAGAAGCAAACAAAATGAAACCCCTTTCTTCCTTTCTGATAACAACTGCTGGCCTGTTCTAGAGCCTCCCCAGAAGACTTTCTGGATATAAGTTCCTAGACCTTATGGTGACTGCCCTATTGCTGAGGAAAGAGGGGTCAATCTC